TCTTTCTTTCTTTCTGTCTGTCTTTCTTTCGTTCGAGGGCCAAAGAACCAAGAGCCACTGAAAGCAAGAACTTGTAGGAAATCCCCACGGGGCGAGCCAAACCAGGGTAGAGCCAAACCTTTGACAAAAAAAACATGGCCCATCACTAAACCCCACACCCTAAACCCTTAACCCCTAAACCCTAAATCCCCACACCCTAAACCCTTAACCCCTTAAAGCCTAAATCCCCAAACCTTGAACCCTTAACCCCTTAAACCCTAAATCCCCAAACCTTGAACCCTTAACCCCCTAAACCTAAATCCCCAAACCCTGAACCCTTAACCCCTAAACCCTGATCCCTTAATCCCTAAACCCTTAACCCTCCCTAAATCCCAATATAACCCCAACATAACCCTATGTAACCCCTAAATAACCCCTATATAACCCCTAGTATTATATAGTAGTTTCCATTTTCTTTTCCATTATCCGTATATGTGATATTAACCACCTAAAGGGGCCTGCCTGGCCATCTTCCAAAGAGGTGCAGAGATCTTCTCGGCGAACCACGAAGGACTCCTGGGTAGGGTTTAGGGTTTAGGATTTAGGGTTTAGGGGTTTAGGGTAAAGGGCTTAGGGGTTTGGGGGTTTAGGATTCAGAGATTTAGGATCTAGGGTTTAGGGTATAGGGTTTAGGGGTTTAGGGGTTCAGGGGTTAAGGATGTAGGATTTAGGGTGTAGGGCTTCGGGTTTAGGGTTTAAGGACTGGGGGTTTTAGGGTATAAGGTTTAGGGATTAGGGTTTGGGGAGTAGGGTTTAGGGAGTAGGGTTGACTTGAAGCAACACGGCAAACGGGAGCCGCTTTGAAAATTACCCGCCCTCACAACATAAGGCTAAGTGGCATGAGCTTGACATAGTTGAGCCAATGTTGGGAAGAACCACCGGCAGCATCGCAAACCATACGTGAGCTACAGTCAACATTTCCTACATAATGTAATGCACATGGGTTCCTTCTTAAGGATTATACTAAACTACATGAGGGACCCCTATGTCCACCCTTAATGGTCCCCTGGTAAGGCTAAAATTGACAATAGCTCACATGCACCCGAAAGAACTAGTAGTTTCCATGTTATTTTCCATTTATCCCAAAATAACCCCAACAAAACCTTATATAACTCCTATATAACCCCTAGTATAATATAGTAGTTTCCATCTTCTTTTCCATTACCCCCATATATGATATTACCCAGTGGATACCTATATCCCTCTTTTGGATCTCCCTTCCTTTTTTTCGTGCGCCGGCCTGCTGCCTCTGAAGTCGGCCGGGCTTCACCTGTGCCATAGTCTAAACTCCTTAAGGCGGGGGTAATATAGGGGATTATACAGGAGACTATTATAAGGGTTCTTAAGGGGGATACCAGGAGTGTCGACAATGGCTCACCTGGAGTCTGATGCTTGTCTTGCGAACGAATCAGGAAGTTCAAGTTTAACATACCTTTAGTAAACCCAATTTAGTGCTACCGCTGCTTTTCGGGAACTGCAACATTCAAGCTCTTCTATCTAAAGGCTTTAGGTTGAGTCATGGTTCCAATTTGCTTCATTCTGTGGTTTTCAACGGGTTAAGGGCGTCCATGATATTCAGACTTGGGAGGCTTCGCTTCTGAGCTGAGTGAAAGGCAAAGCTGAAGGCCAGAAAACTCAGAAACTACCCATTGGAATCAAATTGGGTTGAAACTGTTTCTCTCCTTTTAGGAACTGTCGGGCTTCACAGCAATTCTATGGGAACAGGCGGCTGTAAAGCTAGGAAAGCTAGGAATCATCAAAAAACAAGTTTCTGATCTCCAAAAATTTTGCAAATCTACGTAAATAATTAGCAGCAATGAGCCCCTGCGCTGCCAGGCGAGGTTGCGCTTTGTGGACAGTAGCATGACCAGCCAGAATGCTGAGTGCAGGAGGGCCAAGGTAATATCTAAATGATATTACCACTTTATCGCAAACTTGATCGACCTCTTACAGAAACGGGTGCAGAGAGCAACCCGGAGGCGGGCGACTAAACCTTGCACAAACATCACGGAGCCAGTGCGATCATTACAAGACATCCCTCGCTCAAGAAGCAAAGTGTACTGATTAGGTTATGAAACAACCATCTACCATTCATGGACTTAATAGTTCCTCCAGAATCAAAAAAATTCTGCAGCATGCCGTAAAGCAAGGGATCGGACCTTGACCAGCATGTCTTCCGCCTGCGAATGCACAGGTTACGTGCGCAGCTTGCGGGCTGTGAAACGGACCGCGGGTTCGAGCGGGATGCCAGGAAGTCACAGGGCTGTCGCGGGGCCATTAGCAATCCATGACAGGCAACACACGTCCGAAGAGTTTAAACAGTTCAGAACACAGCAGTCTGGTCAACTTTCCCACATTCTACTGGGTTGCTGTTAAGGAACTTAACTTGAGTTACTATATTGGGGAAACCCTATTAATTACCATATACAACCATAATTATGGTAACTTACTCTAAGTTCCTTAACTGCAACCCAGTCTACTGCGTAGTTAACCAAGCTTCTGGACTCAGTTCTTGACGAATTGCTCCCCTGCACTTAACTTGCATTGTTGGCCGACATCCGCTACCAATCCAATGTCATTTAGCATATACACCTGGGACTCTCTATGGAAATGCATCAGAATCAGCCACCCTTCAGATGTCTCATCTGAACAGAAGATGAGTCGTCTTGCATGGCGGCTCTTAGCTTAGCTAGCAAGCTGGACACTGTAGAAAATGAATCCGCCCTAACAACGTGAGAACCCCATAAGCGCACACAACTCCCCAAACCCTAAACCCTGAACCCTAAACCATAAACCCTAAACTCCAGACCCTAAACCCCAAACGCCAAACCCTAAACCCGAAACCCCAAACCTGCCGGTCTGCCTTCTTCAGCGGCCGAGCTGTAGGCGTCCAACCGAAGTGGCTCCTGGGCCCGGGCGAAGAGGTTTTGGAAATTTATGGTTTGGGGATTTAGGGTTTGGGGTTTAGGGATTTAGGGTTTAGGGTTTAGGGTAGGTATATTGGGGAATGGGAAGGAAAATGGAAACTAGTATATTATTTAGGCTTGCAAAGGGATATACAGAGACACTACTACGCGAATGATGGAGAATGATGGGGAAGCAGATGGAAAATCAAATGGAAAATCAAATGGAAAAAGACAAGGAAACTGGAAAAACCAAGTGGAAATTATGTACCCAAGGGTCAAAGGTAGCTGCTCAGAGCAACCTACTTGGAGGTTCATGGGCTACTTATCAAATTGAGATAGCCCAAACCCTAAACCCAAATCCCTAAACCCCAGACCCTAAACCCTAAACCCTAAATCCGGCTAGGGGATGATAAATGCAGTCATAAGCCCAGTTCAATGTGGTTTCAAAATCCCATGAACCTCCAACTAGGATCAAAGCACTGAGTATAAAGGCTCACTGCAGACAACCCCCGAGAGGGAGCAGGACAAACCCAAAACCAACCCCTAAACCGCAAACCCTAAACCCTAAACCGAGGACAGGGCTTCCTGTGGTGGTTCAGCCCGAGCTTCCAAACCTGTGGTGCAGCCAGCTATGCATGTAGTATCTCTTACCTTTACGCAGAGTATGGAAGATAAGTTAGTTGCACCACCCACCCGGTCGAAGTGATAACATCACCACTCTCCCTTATAGTCACCATTAACCCTAAACCCTAAACCCTAGACCCTAAACCCTAAACCCTAAACCGGGTGGGGGGTCCACTTAAAAGATTGCCTGAAATAAGACACAAAAAGAATTCATCCTCAGCTTCGGGCCGCATTCCACGCCTTGCGCGGAGAGACAACATCCTAAAGCACCATGTAATCATAGTGTTTAGGGTTATAGGGTTTAGGGTTTAGGGTTATAGGGTTACAGGGTTTAGGGGTAAAAGGGGGCTATAGGGGATATATAGGGGTCATATAAGGATTATGAGACATATGGCGATATAGGGTCTAGGGTTTCCAAAACCTAGCAATACCTTGTTGCGGGTCCCCACAATAGTATTGGGCGTCTACTTTGGGCCTCGATATTTATGGAAACTACCAACTATCCCCATACAATACCCCCATAAATCTAGTTTCCATTTCGTTTTCCATTTCTTTTCCACTTATTGATTCCCCAGCATTGGGAACATAATCCCACCCATTTATGGCAAGGCAATACAATACCCACATAACACTAGTTTCAATTTAATTGTCCATGTTTTCATCCGCTTGAGTCTCTAATATTGAAGCCCTAGACCGCACGTCGGACAGACAGTGCCTTGTGATCGCGCTTGGTCAGTTCAATGGTGAACACTTTGGCCCCATCCTCCTGGTTAAGGGTTTGGGGTTTAGAGTCTAGGGTTTAGTGCTAGTAGCACTCCAAAATGAGGAAAGGAACATGGAAACTGGTATGTAGGGTACTACAGGCGATAGCGAAAAAGGTTCATCTCAGCCAGGCAGGACACTGACTACCCAGCTTTGCCTGCGTCTCTACAGTCCACCAAGAGAGATCCCGCTTGATGTCTCCGTACCTGCCATGACTGTTGGCGTTCACGGTGCATGCTAGCAGTACTCTACACAATTTAGTAGCTCTCACATGCTCTCACTAGAACTACTGGCATAAGAGCTATAGTCTAAACTCCTAGTATCCCCCTTAATAACCCCTATAGTAGTCCCCTATACAATCCCCTATATAACCCCCCTTTAAGGAGTTTAGACTATGGTTCATAACATGGCAGACGTTACAGCAACCCTCGCAACTCGCTGCCTGCCCTCTAAGAGCCGGGCAAGGTGCCATTGATCGGGGCCAGGATCGCATCCAGCTCCGGTCTGGCAACAGCCTCTCAGATGGTGGGTTTAGGGTTTAGGGTTTATAGGGTTTAGGGTTTAGGGTTTAGGGTTGGGTTCTTGGGCTTTGGAGGGTTTAGGGTTTAGGGCTTGAGTGTTGGTAGGATGAAAGACTTAACAGACCCATGCACTTGAGATCCCACAACATTATGCTTTAAAATGAGGCACAAAAAAGTTTATACAATCCCTATATATATATATACACACCCAATATATACCCCGTTATCCTATAATACTTTGCATTCTCTCTTCCTTTGTTCCTATATAAACCACATGAGCCACTAAATTAAGGGGAATACTAAGCTACAAGAGGGACCCCTACGTCCACTGTTAAGGGTCCCTTAATAAAGCTAATCTTGACAGTAGCGTATAACATGTCCCTGTATCATCCCTGTATATCCCCATAGATCCCTACCCCCACATATAACGGCAAAGAACACAAAAAGGCTCCTACTGTTGATACTAAAAAATCCTGCATGACCTTAATGTACTATAGCACCATAATTCCTAATGTATAAGGTACTTCGGGTCATGCAGGATTTTTAGTATCCACCGTATTATTCCTATATAGACCCATAGAATCCCGTTATAATCCCTGTGGCCTTGACCTTCAGCTCCCAGCTGGAGAGCTCTACGCTGAGGTCAGCTGCTTGAAGGCAAGCTGCCTGCACTTACTGGTTCTTAGTAGGGAATAAGGGAATATATATATATATATACATATGCATAATCTCTATCTGTATATATATGTATATGTATATATATATATGTATGTATGCGTATGTGTATATATATATATAGATACATATGGGTTTGGGTTTTGGGGTTCAGGATAGTTAGGGTTCTTTTAAGGTGCCTCTTTCACCCACACACTCCAGCCAGTAAAGTCCAAAATGGACAGGCAGACCTCCAGTACAATCCCTCCGTGTTCCGCCTGGACCCTAGGATCCGGCAAAACCCTCAGCCCAGATACGGTACAGAGTTTAGGGTTTAGGGTTAGTGGGGAATAAAGGAACATAATCCCTATAGAGTCCTCATAAAGCAGATTCCCTTACTGCCTGCTAAAAACCAGCAAGTTCAGTCCACATCTGGGTTAAGACAAGATGCAAGCCCTCCATAACTTTACGGTTTAAGGTTTCAGGGTTTTGGGTTACAGTACCTCCACGCTGGATCAGGATAAGCCCTGAAGTCAGCCTCTACTCATATGACAAGATCCCAGGGATGTCGTGGCACTTACAGGGACGCATGACCCTCACGCTATCAACATGCAGTCAGCAGCTGAAAACGCCTACGCACATATTTTTGTATAGCCTTGTATACAAATACAAGCCACACTTCTTGGAATGGTTGCAGCTGAGAAAGCCTCATCTCGGAAGACGTACTTGAGCGTGATGCGCCCCATGCTTTGCTCGTAGTCCACTCCCCTTGCATCAGTGCATCAGCTGGTTACTTGGAGGGTCAGGGGTACTTCGTAAGTAGGTTAATAGCCCCTATAACCCACATAGTAACCTTAGTTACCCCATTGTTAACCTAGTTACTAAGTCCCCCTGACCCTCCAAGTAAACTCTAAACCCCTAAACCCTAAGCCCTAAACAGTAGTTTTCATTTTCTTTTCCATTATCCCTATATAACCCCTATATGAGCTATAGTCGAAAC